TTTTAAAGGTTCCTCTGGTTATGCTTGGACAACTGTTCCTGCATATCCAAGGCAAGCATCACTGATTATCATATCTTATTCTCTTGTATTTCAAAAGAAATTTCTTAAAAAAGGAACTAATTATAAGTAAGCATGGCTCTGAGTTAACAAAATGACAATAGTTAACGTAAGTTCACCACACCTTTTTCTTTAATGTCAGAAACTCTAAGAAAGCTTCTTGTGTTAGTGCGTCCACCAAACGTTGAATCTTTGGTTTCTTTTCTTTCAGTGGGGTCATTGGTTTCTTGCTGTGCTCCACCGAAGGTCCTTATGTCGACTTCCGAAATCCAATCAACCCCGTCGATCCCGAAAATTATGGCATATCAAACAAACCCTTGAAGTTTTACAACTCAGAAGTAAGCATATATATAACAATCTAAAATTGACAGTTTTTTTTTTTGTGTTTTTTTGTTTAAATTTTCGACGTTGTTGTGTATCCGTTTCAGGTTCATTCAGCTGCATTTTGCTTACCATCTTTTGCCAAAAGATTCTCGAATGCGAAAGCTACTAAAAGGCCGTAGTATGAACAAGACAGAGACATGTTCACGTAGTTGCAAGCATGTGTACTAATACCGACAACACTGCATGCCTCATTCATACCCTTTCCGACAACGTTTGAAAATTCGTGCCACTATTGTTGGGCCAAGATTTTTTAAAAGAAATCGTACTTTGTTATACTTCAACGTTCAAGTGTGTTATCTTAAGAAAATAACTACTCCATATGCATTGCCATTATTCAGACAGAATCAATATTTCATTAAGCAAAACATCAATAAATTGTTTAAATTACTAGTTCTTAATCTTTTTATGTTTACATTGGTGATACTGGAAATCAAACTTTTGAAATAATCAAGAAAATTTAAATTCTATCTTTAACTTTACAACTATAAATCAATTATTTGCATTACAAGTGGTTTAATCTTTTGTTTACTATATATGAACTAATCTATTAATAGTAATAAAATTCAGACACTAAATGTTTTTACTTTTTTTGAGTTATAGAAATCAAATTAACTTGCCATATCAATTTTATGAACTAAATTATTACTTGACCGATTTGAGAACTGTTGACTAAATTTATTTTTTCACATTATCAAAACAAATTATCTGATTATTCAGATTTGTTCCGAATCCAAAGTATTTAAAAACTTAAATCTGAGATACTGAAATTTATCTAAGAAACTAATATTTTCTGTCAACTATATATATCTTCTTCATACAAACGGATTTCAGAATTTGCAACATTTTAGTCTCTTCATTACCTACGTGTTCTTGAAAGAAATCATAATATTTTGGGAGTAATAGTCTCCGATGAGTGAGTTAAATAAGTCATGTTTCTAAAGACAAAAAGCAAAACATGAGAGATATTGTAGGTAAACCTAACATGATGTAGAATGGCGCTTAACAAACAAGATATTGACGGTGATTCTCTGTTGGAGTAGTTTTTTCATGTTAAGATGTGACCAAATGATGGAATATGATCTATCACTGTCCCTATAATTAAACCTAAACCCATGGGAGGTTGGTGCGTCTATATCCAAAATCGGCTCAAAGGAGTATAAACACACATTTATCATGGCTTGTTTGTCTCCATCAATGTTAGCAATTTGAAGCACAATTCAACCCTAATGCCACTCAGTGTTCCTCATAGATTTTTCCACATTATCACGATAAAATGTTGAACCTTTTTTAGGTTGGGTAATTATGTGCATGACATGTTCTCAATGGGCGAAAGTTGAAAGTTGAAACTATGAAACACTCAATGATTGCAGAACGTGCAATCAAATACCCAAATCTATTTTTTTAGAATTATTATCATGTCTAATTTACCATAGTTAAATATGGGTATGGTAGAACAAACTACTTTACAAAAATAAGTATTACTAGAAGAAAACGAAATTATTTTTAAGCTATGATTTTGTATAAATTAACTTATATGGATAAGTTAATTTTAACAAAAAGAAAGTTAATTTTAATTTCTTTTATTTTTCTGTTTTGATGACACAGCGAAAATAGATTTGAAAGAGGAGTCCTCAATAAGTATTTATTAAGGAAAATATTAAAAAGACCCAAGAGTAATAAAAAATATTTTGGGAATTAACATTGTTCTCAAGAATCAATTATGTGTGCTTGGAAGGTGGTGGTATCCTCTCCAACACATATAAAAAAATGTTACCTTTAATCAATTATGCAAATTATTTACATCATCTTATAACATAATTAAAAACTGCTAAAAGTATTTTTTTTTTTAAAAATTAGATTATGACTACATTTTTCTATTTCTGGTTCGGCAGAGGAAGACTACATGTTACGATTTATTTTACGAAAAAATAATTAAAAATTCTTATAATGTTTATCTTTCTAGATTGACAAAAGTGGATTGTTTCTCCCTCCAAATTCACTGAAGAATTAAAGTTAATTTCTAAAACAATGTGTTTATAATTTTTAAGTTTACCCTTTTACCTTCATTAGGGTTAGAATTAAGCATCTACTTAAAAATACTCAAAATATAAATTGAAAAAGAATATACTCAAATTCATCAAATAAAAATAATTAATTTTAGTTACTTACAATTTCATTTTGATTCAACAATTATACAGGAAGTTTTTAAAGTGGCAAGTTGTCAATAGTTTATAAACATCTAGATAATGTCCGATCACAATAGAAAATTTGTCCTCACAATAATATAGTGAATTAATTATAAAAAAATTTTATAATAAGATATTGGTATGTAAGGTTATCTTCATTTTTGTTAACTGAGATGTTGTTTGATATAGATGAGAAAAAAATTAACTAGGAAGTTCACACGGATTTAATTTCAAAATTAAAAGAAAAAGCATCATCCAATAAACTTTTTTTTATAATGTGTTTGTCACTATTATAAAAATTTATTATAGTGAATATATATTTGTTATCCAAGTTTAGCATACTCTTTGGTTGATTATGATTGTGTGTCAACTAAATATAAAATATAACTTTAAGTATATAAGATCATGTGACAAAAGGTAATCCAATAGAGACAATGTGTAGTGGTTACTGTCAACATTCAATGTCGTCCAAAGCAGATAAAATTATTTTCGAAACATTCAAAAATAAAATACTAAATAAAAAAAAAGTAAAACTAACATTTGATCTTAAATAATAATAATTTAAAAAAAATGATTTTAAAAAGAGCTTCTTGAAGTTTGTTTTTTTAAATAATATATACTGATAAAAAAATAAAAAAATGAAAAGGGATTTTTGTTTTTAGATAATAAGAAAATTAAAAAAGAGATATACAAGTAAATTATTAATTAAAACTGTTTTTTTCGTTATTTTTTATTTATTATTATTATAATTAATTAATTAAAATTTTAAAACTAAAAAGAAGCGGTTTGACAGTTATTTGGAGGAGGGAATAGTTTTTTCTCTGTCTCAACTTTTCCTTCTCTGGGATATTCTTCTTCCAATAACACACATATAATCCCATTCATCCGAATCTCCGTTTTCTACGATTTCTTCCCCAACATTCATTACCATAACGCTCCTCCATTCTAGACCAACACCAAATTCCAACCACAACAGGTCCATTCATCACTACAAGAAGCAGAGAACGTTTTCAAAGAACATCATCAAATTCATGTAAAAGAGGCAGAGAGATACTGTGAATACAACATTTCGAGATAGGAATTAGCCACAGAGAATCAAACTCGGCATTAAAAAGTATAGCAATACATTGAACTTGAAGGTACACTTTTAATGGTGTTCTTATTATCTACCCTCTTCCTTAACAATCTGAAACACCCATCGGCAACACTGAGAACCAAAATAACAAACAAAAATAAGAAATCTGCGGTGAGAAGAAGGAGATTGAAATTAAGGAGAATTAGAGGCTGTGAACCATGTTGTGTTCCAAATGCATTCAAACATATATTGGATAGTTTGTAATATAACAAGTGTTATATATATATATATATATATATATATATATATATATATATATATATATATATATATATATATATAAATAAAGATATGATAGAACACAAAATTTAAACTGGTTTGATTTGAATAAAACAATGTTTAGATTACACTAGAAGTATAAAAAGATATTTGATGTACAAAAGGGTTGATTTGAGACAAGAAAGATGTATTAAAATAGTTATGAGTGTAGAATTAGTTTCATATATGATAAAAACGTGTTGAAGTTATATTTCAGTTCTTTGTCCTTGTATTGATTCAATTATTATTTACAAAGATACAATTATTTATGTCTTGAGAGTTTTCTTTAAATGTAACTTTAAGTTCATCTCTAATATCTTGAGCTTAAGATTATCAAACTTTACTATGATTTCTTTATGACTGCTTTAATGAATAACTTACATTAAGACCGAGACTCTATTACTAGTTAGAGTCTTGGATCTATTTCTAGAATCTAAAAGTAAGAGAATTTGTTGGACCACAACTTTGAATCAATTCTCACTCAATCATAAACCAATGACATACAAAAAAAGTGTTATTTAGTGGAGATTTTTTTTTTCTATTTGCAGGGTTTTTTACCCTTCGCAAAGTAATTTCCGGGGGTTTTTCAAACTGCTGCAGTTTGAGTCGCCACAATCTATCTGCGGAGGTTTTTCGCGACCCCTGGTATCACATTCAATTTGCGGAGGTCTTTTTACGGAAGGTAAAAACCTCCTCGATTACTGACTATTATTTTGTGAGAGTTTTTAACCTCCTTTATTTTCAACTATTTAATTACAAAAAATACCTATATCTTTTACATTATTTTTTGGAATTAATATATATTCAATTCACGAGCTTGCTGAAATAATATAAAAGATTAATAAAATATGTAAAATTGTAAATTATACAAAAATTAATCAAAATTAATTTTATTGATGATTTAAAACAAAGTATATTTATATTTATTGACAATTACAATGTAAATATATAAAATAAAACACATAGGCAACCTAAACAAAATCACTATAAAACTAGAGGTTTAGCTTGTGGCAAATTTTTGCACTTTGCCAGAGTGTAACAGAGGTTTTACAAGGGAACGTTAGATAGCTAATTGAAATTTCACACTTGCTCTTGTAGCTTCACACTTGCTCTTATAGCTCCAAGATAAAGGACAATCAAGGCCATGGTTTCCTCAATCCAAGATGTAGCACCAAAGATAGGTTTGATGCCTCAAGTCTCTTTGCCTTATGCTTCTTCTGCCACTTCTTGAATGCAAGTCCTGCCAACATCATAACTTCTGATGAGCCAATAGTTCTTACTCCAACAACATTTCCATCTTCTCCAATTTCAGCATGGAACAAGTTCACGCACCGGTTCTGTTTCCATTCAAAATACAACATCAGAGAGAGTGAAAAAAATTATTGAGCAAGTCACACCAAAAAAATATAATACATGTTTCATATTCCAAATATAAACACCATTTGTCATGACAGACAAAAGCTCTACAACATACCATTTTGCCCAAGTTCTCCATTATCGATATGTTCATCTACAAAACAATGAAGATTGATTCCATTTATATACTCTTTCAAACTTTATCTCAAGCTAATATAGAACCAAAAAAATTATGGAAAAAAAAATCTCTTCTACTGCTTGTTTCTCCTACTACCATAAATAATGAATAGACATAGACAATACTAAAAGTATTGATTTAATCTAGAAGGATAAAACCTAGACAAGAAGTAACAAAACTAGAAAAGTGCTAAATTCACATTCTTTGTAGTTCAATGACATGATGTTAAAGTGGGGAAAAATGTAACAATCAGTTAAAACCAAATCCCTCGGTATAGGAAAGTTGCTAATATGCTTTGATTAAAATTATGTGATTGGCACAAAGATGCTCAAGAATGAAAGCAAAGTAATCATTTATAAAGAAGGAAAACCATTTAGAACATAATCTCTTTGCCTGTACTTGAACATTGTTAATATAGGTCCTTTTAACAACAGCTAAACAGTCTGATAGCAAAGAAATATGAGGAATTGAATTTCAGACTTCTTTATACCCCAACCCATCCACTAACGGCAACAACATCATTCAACAAAATACATCTAATAATGAACATGAGGCATGCATTAGACTTGGACAAATATCAACTCTAAAGCTAACATTATGTACTAATATGATGAGTGATGATTAATTATGCACAACGAATACTCAAAACCACATATTATTATTTCATAAGAATTGGCATAGGAGCTCGCAAGAATTACTAAAATAAAAAAATGAGACCTGGAAGAACAGAGTAGAGGCTTGGCAAGTGTCCACCAGTATCAGAAGCTCCTTGAACCTAACAAATCCAGATATGAATGAGTAAAGAAAAGAGATTACAGTCCAACATTTATAAGCATGCAAAATTGGATTTCTAATTCAATTGTTTGTTTTACAGAACATAGGTAGCTTTTCTTTAATTATTATTCATCTTTATTGTCTTCTGTTTTATACTTTTGTTATGGAGAACTCACTATCCTCTCCTCTCTATGTAAGAAAAAATCATTAGCAGCATATGAAGATTCTATATATATTATAATAGAGGAGCAAATTATGAAAAAGGGAGCTCAAGAAAGGAGTTCCATTTACACCAAATGTCTGTCTATTATTATAATGTATTTCTTTTCAATACAAACTAAATGGTTAGATATTGATATGAAAAACAGTGTTAACATTAAACGATTTCTGAAATTAATTATGTATTATAAATTACAAAGGTTGGTTCTTACATCAATGATTAATGCATTACACAAAGGAAACACAAACATTGCAAAATGAATTCATTTGATAGAGCAACATTGTAAAAGAATCTATGATTGATTCTAACAAATCTGAGAAATGACACCAACTTCACCAATTATTAACAAGACCACAGAACCAAGTCTCAAATCTCACCTTTCCTAACCCAAACCTTATAGTGTTTATACCTCTTCCGCTGGTGAGAATCACGATCGGCAGTATTCATTTCCCCTGATTTTCCCTTCTCTTCTCCATTTTTTGAGTTAATCGATAAAACCCTAACTCTCTCTTCTCCCTTTTCCTGTGTTGTTGTTCCAAAACCTTCTCCATTTGCTTCTCTCTCTTTCGTGTTAGCTATACAAGAACAGGAGAGTAAGAGGACTGAACGTCGCTGGAGGAGTCAACGGCGATAACGGCTTGGACGAGCTTTCATTGGAGTTCATAGGAGGAGTCGGCGTAGAACTCGATGTCGTCAGAATGTTGTTCCAGAGTTGCGTAGGAGGAGTCGACGAAGAACTCTTAGGGAACCCTAATTCGAAACTAAAGAATTATCGTGAGCGAAATGGAAGAACAAAGAAAGGAAGGAAGGGAATGCGATGATTTTAAGAAGCTTCGAGAGGGAAGAACGATTGCGAAATTTTAGAGGAGGAAGGGAGTGGGAAATTTGGGAGGGGAGAAGAAAAGTCGAAAATTTTGGAGGCACACATGTTTTTGGAATTGGGAAAAAGATTAAGTGTAAAATATAAAGAGGGAAGAGATATAAAAAAGATGGAAAGGAAAGAAAAAAAGTTTTTATAATTGAAGATGTTATAAACCTCCTAAATAAGAAATTAAAACCGCCAAAATTATTGTCATTTACACGGTTAAGCATAATCATTTCAAATCATGTCAATTTGCGGAGGTTTTTTATAACCTCTGGAAAAAAAACCTCTACTATATATCATTTTTTTTTTGTAGTGTAAGATGAGTGATTAGTTCATCCAACAATAAATATAAACTAATTCACACATATATAATAAAAGCAAACTTTGATAAATATAACAATACCGATAAAAGAGAGTTCCAAAGGATTACATCTTAGCTTCAACATAAGAGAGAGTTAAATTAGGATGCAAACTTTGAAATGTAGTTGATAGCCATGTTTCTTCTTCCTTTCTAAAGGTATGTATTAAGTACAAAGAAAGTGTGTCTAAAAAGCACTCTAAGAACAGTATAAAATAACTCTCTAAAAGTTTGTTTGAATAGGGTGCAACTTTATTTTCATAAACAGTCCAGGGCAGTGCTCAACAGTACATTTGTAACTTCAGTTGTACAAGTTTCCTATCTAGTTGGGTTTGCTTTTATGGTCAAGCCTCATGCTTTGGTGCTTCGGCTCTTGAGATAACTTCTACGAGAAGGAGTTTTCATGGCTCAGTCGCATTAATCACATTTTTATCCAAAATTACTTAAAATTCATCAAGTTTCATTGTTTTTTCACTTTGACTTTCTATTGTTGCTAGATAATACAAAACAAACTAAATTGGGATGACTTTAACAAAAACTTAATATAATAAAAGCAATATAAGTGTCAAATTCATCTCAAAACTAACTCATATTAGATACTTATCAGCCGGCAAACAGGTGGTGGTGGTGACACTAGTTCAAACCTTAGCGAGGTTACATTGGTTTCCCTCCCAGTGAAACAATAGTGTCTCCAATTGATGGTGTTGTTGCCTGGTCATGCATTTAGGTAATTGAAAAATGCAAGAAAAAGAAGATAAGCAACAACTCCATTGAGGAACTACAACAACACTAACAATGATGCCCATGACAAAGTGACATGGCGGTGTCGTTGACCGCTATGATTGGGGTTGGATTGTTATTACTCTTTGCACTTATATGTTTCATTGTACACACTCTCACTTTCTTTTATTTTATTTCTAGACTGCTACTTTCTACACCTGCACATTACACGTAACTCACAATTTTTATTCCACGTTTACCCTTTTTCTAATTAAATCTCACATTTCACTCACATCATTTTCTAAAACAAGAATATATATATATATATATAACATGAAAATAAAAATTGTTTTCTTTTTTTTCACTTTTAGTGTCCGGTCGACCACTCACGTCGTATGACAATATTTCCAAATAATTCAAAAAACACCAAAAAAAATGAAAAAAATGATTTTTTTTTCTCTTACTCCTTAGTATTTGGCAGACCACTCGCGTCATATGACACTATTTTTAAATAATTCAAAAAACACCAAAAAATAACATTTTAAAAATTAAAAATTCAAATAAACTCTCAACAAGTTTTCTTATTAAAACTATGCAAAACAATTGTGTTTCACTAGAGTTACTTCAGTAGACATAAATGATCCATCAAGTTATTTGCTAATGACAAATGGTTTGTCAAGGTTGGTAGCCTTCTTTTGTCACTCTAGAAAGAACCTTTTGGTGTGTCCTTCTTATAATGACAACATTTGATTGATAATGTATTTCCACCAATTTTTGTCCTCTACTTACACCTCCTTCTACATTTTTTGTTATCACTAGTAAATAGTTTACACCTTATAGTACAAGGTCATTTCCAACACTAGTGGCCTTAACTAAAAACTTCTCATTCAATTCCTTTGAGCTTAAAGCAACTCGAAACTCTTCAGGAAAGACAGTTTCTCTTCATTGAGCAAGGTTTCCTTGAAATGATTATGTATCTTAGGGAATGAACACAACAACAAAAGTGTTTGACCCTCATAATTAATATACCTATCTCTAAATCAAGGATCAACTTGAACTCATCCAATTATTCACTAATTGTCTTTTCACTACTCATCTTATATAAGTACAATGCTTAGATTCAAATATAAACAATTCACCAAGTACTTGGTCATGTACAAACTCTCAAGCTTAGTCCATAATCATGCTAGAGTCATTTTCTTTGAGACTTGTCTCAATATTTTATCAATGACACTAAGAACATATATGTTATGAGCCTTCTCTAATGGCATTTTCGTGTCCTTCTCAACCATGGATGCATGAAGCTTGGATTCACCTTCCGAAACTTTGATGAGGCCTTATTCAACCAGAAAAACACGAATTACAAAGTTGTTGGATTTTTGTGACTCAAAAAACATTTGGTTGAAGTAGTCAAAACAGTTAAATAAAAATATATTTTTATCCTATTTCTTAGGAAGCTTTTATGCATTATTTAATTAATTAGTTTAGGAGATATTTTTCAAAGTTGGTTACAAATTATGTAGTATAAATATTTACTACTTATGCTCAATAAAATATATCAGTTTCCCTTCTATTATTTTGCCTCTTATACTTTAAAAACACAACAGTTGGTATCAAGAGCAAAAAGGATCTTACGGGATCTGTGATATAACCCACAAACACCTACAACCACAAAATAGCCACCACACATCAGATGGAATCTCAAACATCCTTTACTACCGTTTTTGTACCTGTATTTGATGGACAAAACTATTAAATGTGGGCTGTCAAAATTGAAGCATATCTAGATGCTAACGATGTATGGGAAGTAGTAGAAGAGAACTGCGAAGTGCCTCCCTTGCCAAATAATCCTACGATTGCTCAAATGAAAAGTCACAAAGAAAAGAGGCTTCGAAAATCCAAAGCCAAATCAATTTTGTTCACAGCCATATCTCCAATCATTTTCAACAGAATAATGACGTTGAAAACGGCATATGAAATCTGGAAGGTTTTTAAGGAAGAGTATGAAGGCAGTGAGAGAATCAAAGGAATGCAAGCTTTGAATCTGGTTCAAGAACTTGAGATGCAAAGGATGAAAGATTCAGAGACAGTCAAAGATTATGCGGACAAGCTTCTCGGCATTGCAAACAAAATACGTCTTCTTGGCACTAAAATTCCTGATTCTCAAATTGTTCAAAAAATACTTGTAACAATTCCAGAAAGATATGAAGCCACATTGACTTCCTTGGAGAACTCAAAAGATCTTTCTACTATTACCTTGGCCGAATTTGACCGCACTTCAGGCTCCAGAACAAAGAAGACTCATGAGAGAAGAAGGGCATATTGAAGGGGCTTTGATAGCTAAATTTTTGAAGAAAAAAAAAGGGTAAGTCAGAAAGTTTCAACCACAAAAATGATAACAAATCCTCTCTTGTTTTTCCATCATGTCCTTTTTCTAAGAAAAATAATCATCCACATACAAAGTGTTGGTAGAGGCCAGATGTGGAATGCCATAAATGTGGACATTTAGGGCCTGTGGAGAAAATCTGCAAGTCATCAAAAACACAAGAGAATGTATAAGCTCTTGTTGAAGAGGGTGAAGAAGAAGATCTTTTTGTTGTTTCTTGCTTTGCCACTACAAGATCAACAGAAAGTTGGCTAATTGATAGTGGTTGCACGAACCACATGACTAACGATCAAGAATTATTCAAAGATCTTGATGCAACATACTACACAAATGTCAGAATTGGAAACGGAGCAAAACTAACAGTGAAGGGCAAAGGAACCATCGCGATCGAAGGTTGCACAGATTTGAAATTAATTAATGATGTTCTATACGTTCCTGAAATTGACCAAAACTTGTTGAGTGTTGGCCAACTTCTAGAGAAAGGCTATAAAGTTCTATTTGAAGATAAAACCTGCATGATTAAAGATTCAGATAATAAAGAATTATTCAGAGTTAAAATAAAAGGCAAGAGCTTTGCTTTGGATTTGATTGATAAAGAGCAGTTTGTTGTGCACAAGGTTGAAGACAATATGCAGGTACAAGGACTTCCTCAACTGGAAGAGAAATCACCCATATGCGCAACTTTGCAATATGGAAAACAAACAAGGTTGCCTTTTCTAAAAGACAAATCTTGGAGAGCAACAAACAAACTGCAGGATGTCAAAGGACCTAAAAGAACCCCATCTCTGAATGACAAGAAAGTAGAGCTAGTGGGTATTAAAGTTGGTGAAAGTCAAATTAAACCAGAAAAATTAGAAGAAGAAAATGAGGAAAAGTCAAAAGAGCAACTACAAATACATGAGAAAATTGCAGAAGATTGTAAGGACGTGAAGACTAAGCAAGAAATTGTGATCGTGACTTCCAAAAGTGAAAGAACTTTAGATATTACGATCAAGTACGAAAAAACTTAGCATATGCTGACTTTGAGTCAAGGAGGAGATTGTTGGAATTTTGTGACTCAAACAACATTTGGTTGAAGTAGTCAAAGCAGTTAAATAAAAATATATTTCTATCCTATTTCTTAGGAAGATTTTATGCATTATTTAATTAATTAGTTTAGGAGATATTTTTCAAAGTTGGTTACAAATTATGTAGGATAAATATTTAATGTTTATGCTCAATAAAATATATCAATTTTCCTTCTATTATTTTGCCTCTTATACTTTAAAAACACAACAAAAATATACTATTTGACCAAACGGCCCATAGTAAACATTAAGAAACTAGTCAATCCACTTGAGACCATTTACCAAATATGATAAATGTTGCATATTAACATTGGACACTTTAGCATTGCCATATAGTGTAGGAAGCTTTGGACAAGATTTTATTGAGTCAATCTTCATAAAATGATAAAGAGAAGTCATTTGCCTTGGCTTTCATAAGTGTTCGTAAAAAAAACCATGCAGAGTCAATGCTAAGTCAAGAGCATCTCAAATACAAGAATAAGTAGTAATGAAAGAAGAATTATACAACAATTAGAGAGGATGTGCAATGACTCTTTTCTTCTAAATTTTAATTATAGAAAATCCATTAGAACAATGAGAGTTGACAAAAATCTTGCAAGAAAAATATATTCGAGTTTTCAAGTTATCCTTAGTCTTTGTAATTATAAGGAAAAACATTTTTCATGTTAAAAATAATCTAAAAGAGTTAATTTATCTTATAAAGATATGTAATCTCTCCTTTTAAAACTATGGAATGATCTTTTACATTGACATACAATTATAACTTCTAGGAAAATAAAGAAAATATTATATTAACATAAGTGTGAACTCTAACATTAATTTATATTTTATGCATGAAATATAAAATGATTATTATATAAGCATAAACCTAGTTTTCTTAATAAAAACAAAAAAAAAGAAGCATCACAATATTTGCTACCATGATAAATAAAATATACTTTTCAAGAAGATCTCTCTTTATAAATCCAAAAGCACTACTTTTTGTTGGATAAAAAGTTTTCAAAATAAATTCATAAACATCATCTTTTCCTAAAAATCTTTATAGACAAGTGAAAAAACTCAATGGAGAAATTTCGTTTTAAGGCTTCCGTATAAAGCAATTTATAATACTTTAAATTTTATATTTTCAAAGGAAACATTTCTTATATTTTAATGTTGTTGATAATGTTATTGTGTGCTGAAATGTTGGATTTAACATGATTAAATTCAACTTTAAGTTACATATTTTTAAATCCTTTTTCTAATAAATATTTTAATTTTAAATATTTTATAAAGTTAAATATGTAATTAAAAAATTTTCTTAATAAATTAAAATTTTAAATATTTTGTAAGATTATTTTTCTTAATATAGTGTAAGAAAATTGTGCTAGAAAAAATTATAAAGATACAGATATAGAAAGCCATTAACCTTATTTAAGAGACATTAGCCCAAATACGGAAGTTCTTAACCTTATTAAGGAGTGTTGCTCCCTACATTACCACGGACTGCTCCCAACACCTCCCCATTCCTATTTTACCCTTCAGTTAAACGGATGTGAGCATACAGATTGATATCCGTTGAAGGTAAAACAGATGTGGATATTCGACTTCCTATGTTGGTGTTGGTGGTCTGACGAAGACAAGCTTTGCAAGTAAGGAGAGCACAAGACCTAAACTTGGTCGTAAAGAAACCTTATATATCTCATGACCTCGTGAAGCACCAATGGTGTATCTGTATGCACATGCAGTTTCTATCAACACTCAAAATCTTTAATTCAGTCAACCCCGTTTTCAATAGACCTTGGCCACATAAAAATTTACAAAATTCCAATTTTAAAAACACTACATCTCAGTCACCTTGCCGAAGGGAGAAACAAGTTGTTGTAATGCTGCAATTCTTTCCCAAGCTTCTCCTTCCTCTGATAATATAACTTGTCAACCTTTCTAAAAACCATACGACATTCTTTTATTAGAAAACGACAGGTCATGTATCTGTCACCGAGAAAAGTTAGAGTTCAAAGTGAAGATAGAGAAGAAAACGACATGCAAACAATCCACAGCCGATTATTATTAAGATATCCCACATCCATTGGAAACCAGTGAAAAAAACCAACCTGCAAACGAAAACAAACAGCAAAGGAACTGGATCCACACTCCTCAACACTCCTCCACAAATGATCAACGGCAATGAAAGCTTTGAAACCCAAAAAAAAAATGGGAAAGAAACAAATGAAGGAAAAGAAAGGAAAAGAAGAACAATGAAGGGGAAGTGAAATGGAAATGAAGGAAGAGAGATATGTGAGATTGGAGGTACAGCGCAAAGAGTAATTAAGGAGAAGTAAGGTCTCAAATAAATTAAAATATCCTAAATAGTAAAAGTGAAAAGAAATTTAACTTAAAAATAAAATTAGAATTAAAAGAATTAAATAAAGAAAATAATACTTAAAAATTATGTGTACTTATGTAAGCATACTAAATTAATAGTTTGGGATATTTTTTGAATAAGAAATTAGTATACCAATTTAAATAATTATAGATATATAGCATGCTGCACTCCAAGAAGCACTTACCAAAGTTATTGGAGAGGTAAAAGATAAAGACGAAGAAAAAGATTGACGAAGGAAATGAAAAGAAAAGAACAAGACGATGAAGACCTAAGTTTATGTTTTTAGTTTTGGTTCAATGTTTACGTCAAACAAAAGGGAAAGATGATAAGAGTGGAAGTTTCTATGTATGACTAGTTTTAACAGATAAGGACAGCAGATGTTTTTGCAAGGCTCTCTCTACCATTACCCGACATTTTCAACTTAGAATACAAAACCAAATCCATAAATCAATGTTAAATAAAATCTTCAGGTATCAATTGAAAGACTGATATATATATATATATATATATATATATATATATATATTATTCAAAATATTAGGTTAATGAAATATGTCATCACTTACTAATAATAATAATAACAATTATTATGGTAAATTTTTTATTTAAGATTTTAATTACCTATTTTATTAATTTTTATACATTTTATATATATGTATTCTTCTGTTTTAGTATTTTATTGTATATTCTTGAAAATGAATTTTTCCATTTCAACCTAGAAAATAAAAATGATAAGTATTTAACATTTCAAATATTCAAAAGTATTAATTACTTCTTCGAAAAATTAGAAAATATATAAAAATACTTTTATTTATTAAATGTTTTTTATCTCAAATATTTAAAATTTCTTTGACTTCAACTCTTATCTAAATTTAAGACTATTGATTATATTAAGAACATAAACTCCCAGAGGAGGTATAAAGGGAATGAAGATTCATCCTCAATGAGAGCTATAGAGAAAAAATGTTATGATCCTGAATCAGTTGAGTGATATAATTAAATTCAATTACCATTCATTTGAATAGGCTTAATACCCTATTTTGTCCCCAGTTTCGCTCGAAAATGTCAAATTAGTCCATCCTTTAAAAAATGCGTCAATTACATCCTCACTTAATAAAATTTGCATCAATGAAATCCCTTCCGTTAAATCTGTACAAACGGCGTTAATTATCTAAGTAGAAGAAAGAGAAAAATAATTAACGACGTTTGTACGGATTTAACGGAAGGGATTTCATTGATACAAATTTTATTAAGTTAGGACGTAATTGACGCATTTTTTAAAGGATGGACTAATTTGACATTTTCGAACGAAACTAGGGACAAAGTAGGGTATTAAGCCATTTGAATATTGTCTACTTTAGAGTTTGTGTTCTGTTACGAGTTTTGCTTTAGAGTGGAAGACGGAAAGAGTATGTAAATTGTCTTTGGCCTCAACTCATAAGCAATCTAAGACTATTAGACGACCCACTGTGAGGCTAATAAAAAGATTCTAAAGACGAATCATCGGTTCCTTTAAGTCCTCCACAAGGGATGAACCCTCTTTCACTTTAAATCTCGATTGGAGGCTTTTGTTACAATACATTTAATAGTCTCACATCGCTTAGGAGTCAAGGTCAATGACATTTTAAATACTCCTTCCACCCTCTAAGGTGCCTTTTAAAAACAAAATTGTGATGGATCATAGGCTCTAAAGCGGACAATATCTTATATGAGGGGTGATTAACCTTAATGATGTCATTCAGCAAACTTAGGATTGAAACATTAACACCCATTGTGGAATCAATATTGTAGTTCTGAGATACATCGGTCCTTTAAGTCTTCCATTGTGAATGAACATTTACTCTATAGTTGTTAAAACGAGCCACCCAGCCCGACCCAGCTTGGCCCACGACGAGTTGGCCACTTATAGAGTCAACTTAACCCGGCTCACTTATTAATGAGTCAAAAAAATTTGAATCTGGTCCAGTCTACCACGGATTAGGGAGTTAAATGAGTTGGCTCACTGACTTACCTAACTACAAGTATTTTGTTTTCAATTAAAAAGTTAACAATTTTTTTCTAATTCAAATATAAATAAAGGATAAGGGTCTTTAAATTAGATTTATGATCAATCAAACATAAGATTTAATTTACATAAAAATATCAGAAAATCTTCTCACATAATTTTCAATGGCGTCATAGTGATTCAAATTTGTTTATGCATAAAAATTGAGTTATTGAGTATAGATTTGTAGTTTCTCATGTTGTCTAATTATTCCATACGAAAATAATTTTACACGAGTTTTCGTTTTAATAAAAAATACTTATTAGAAATATTAGATGAGTTGATAAGTCAATTCAGTTCATCACAAATTCAATCCGAGTGAATTAAGTTCTTAATAAGAATTCAAAATTATCCGTATCAAAATTTTAAATTCTTTTTCAGTAAGTGATAACACTAATTATTTTCTTAAATCTTGACTGAAAAATTTATATTCACTTAAAAGTCGAAATAAAAAATAGTTAAAATATTTTTTTCTTCTTTCATTTGATTCTAAAATAAACAATATCTTATATTAAAAATTAGGAGTAATTAATT